CATTTTTCCTTAGTTATCAGATAAGGTAGGCCTCCTTTAATCATCACTGTGCCTATATTTATTTTATTCTTCTCCAAAATCGCTTTTCCTTTTGAAAAAACAATGTTAATGTCAGAATCTCTACTTAGTTTTATAGCACTTAGTATGTTATGAGGTATCTCAGGTATTAGCAATACCCCCTCTATTTTTCCTAGACCAGGCAAGGTTACATTCCCTCTACCTAATACTTGCACCTTTTCTTGGTTAGCTACCTTTATTACAAATTTATCTTCTGCAAATGAAGACAATATATTTTTGTTATTAGTGGTGTGATTAGTTGCTCCAGAATCAATAAGCCAATTATTGTTCTCATTTTGCTGTATGTTAGTGTTGTCTTGTTTATTTAGCCCGTTCAGTGAGCCAGATTTTCTATCCTTTGAATTATCTCTGCCCCCTCTATTTTCTTTGTAATTTGGTGGGCTCCTATATCTATGTCTATCTATGGAAGACTGTCTATAATTGTATTTGTTTCTATATTCTGACCTATGCCTTTCTCTTGAAATTTTGGGACAGTCTCTTCTATTGTGTTCCCTGGATTCACAATTGTGGCATTTAAATGTTTCATTATATTTTTCTTGGAAAGCTACTTTCCTATATGGTTTGTGTTCTGTGTGATTGCTAGAACGATTCCTTCTTGAATTGTCTTCTGCTATCAATTTATTGGATAGACTTTCTATGGATAAATATCCTAGATTGATAGTGTCTAAATGTGACATAAAATTGTCCCATGATGAATCAAGTGAGTTGATAATAACACTTTTCATTGTTTGGTCTGAAATCACCTCCCCCCTCAAATGCAGCTCAGCTCTTATTTTGTTTAAATATATTAAATGCTCACTTATGGAAACCCCTGGTTTTACCCTAGATGAAAAGAAATCTTTAGACATCCTTGTGGTGGTAGCTACACTGTCACTGTGAAACAAATTAAACATGCATTGAATGATTTCTGAAACAGTCAGATTTGGCTTAATGCTATGATACATTGCAGGAGACACACTAGATATTATTAAGAAAAATGCTCTATGGTGTAAACAATCTATTTTTAGAGTCCAAGGTCTTTTTGGGGGACTAGTGATAAAAAATAATAAGTTTTCCTTCATAAAGACAACCTGGAGCTGTTGATACCATTCTTGCAAATTAACGCCATCAACCCTTAGCTTTGGGAAGTCACTGGGTAAATTTCCGACATTATTGTGTCCATTACTTACAACCTGAGGTAGTCCGTGGTCTCGCAAGTGTAGAAAATTGCAAAACGGCATGGGGATGCTCGCAACGAGTCTGCATGGTCTCCTCGCCAGTTCATGTCTTCCCGGACCGTCTGCGTAGTTTTGCGCATGCGCGTTGTCCATTTCTTCTTTGGAGTCGTCGTGGAAGGTTCTCTCCATTGTGGCTCGCTCGTTCTACTCCTCTTCAGATGAATCGGTCTCTGGTTCGATTTTGGGAGTCTTGACGACGGCGGCTGCTCTTCCTCTTCCCCTGAGGGCTTTGGTGCTTGCTTCGGTCTGTGGCGTAGGGCGGTACCGGCAGGGCTCTCTGGGTTCGGGCGTCGGCGTTCTCGTAGTCAGGATGGGAGCGGGCAGGTCTTGAAGCATCGGCTTGCTCGCTCACTTCTTCGGTAGTTGTTTGTTAATTTTTAGTTTTGGCCCAAATGCAGCAAAAAGCGTTTTCATTGCTGATTTTATTTGGGAGTTTGTTGAATCATCTTCACTTTCTGATTCTGATTCTTCTGAGGAGTTTGAATCTTCTTTTTCATTTTCGTTGTTTGATAACGTTTTTCGCGCCAGAAATTTTGAATTGAGCATTTTGATTGGCTCTGCTTCGCTCACCCTGGAGGCCTGTTGAAACCAAGATGGCTGCCATTCAAAATTTCGCGCGGGATCACCGTTTTTCTTCTTCGTAATGACTTTCTCTGCAGTCATATCACTCACTATTTTTGGGTCTTTAGACTTTTCATTAGTGATGTTTTTCTCTCTCGCTGCTCCGCTGTTCTTCAGCATATCTTGGAGTTTCGCGATGAGGCTTTCATCATTCTTTTGGCTCTTTAATAGTTTTAATATCTCTGACCTGAGTTCGTTATTCTCTATTTCGATTTCCTTCTGGTCATCAATTTCATCTATTATTTCTTCGTCTTCAGTGGTGTATTCTTCGGATTCTCTCGAAATTGCGTTTGTGGATTCGTTGATTATTTCTTGTTCTGTTTCCATTTCTTTGCTGTAGGCCCTGGTGTTGGGCCTATCTTTCTTAGACATTTTTAAGTTTTTTATTGAGTCAATTAACCATCCTCTGCTACCAGCTTGTTGCAATATTTTCAGGATCAGACTCAATAATATTAGTAAGAGTTAAAGGTTTAAATATATTTCCTTTTATTTACAATAGGCATTCTATATTCACTGAATATTCACAGATAGAAGCAAGGAAAAGGGTGTAGGTGGCTCCTTATATATACAATGGGTGGAGCTATAAGTGGGAGTGGTGAATTATGAATACATTAAGAAGTGAAGAATAAGTTAACCCCTGATACCCCGTTCATATATTATTTACACATTAGAGAATAAGGCATTTACATCTGACAGGGAGGAGAAGAAGAGGGGGGGAAGAGAAAGTAAGAAGGAAAGAAAAGAGAGAGGTGGTAGGTTTGAGGAGAAAGATTGCTGTACAATAAAAAAGATGAAAGGGAAGAAAGCCAACCCCAAACAAATATAAAGATATTAAGATAAAGAATGAATGGTTAAACTTTAAAGAATAAAAGAGAACAAATATGAATAAATAGCAGTAATTAGAAACACACATACAAACATACAATTTATTTTCTTTGAACAGAGTATTTGGCCGGTTCACAAATTTAAACAGTGTTTAGTCACTTCAATTAAATTTACAATTTCTATATTTCCTTTTTGCCATATTTATTCCTCATCTATTTTTTAAAAAAAACCAATATTACCCTTCATCCTCATCTCTAATCTTAATCAAATTCAATTTTTCCCTTCTATTCTATATTATACCCCTTTCCATTGTCATCTATTTTTATATCCATCCTCACATTGTTTAATTATGTAATTATGTAATACAGTTGTTTAATACAAATTCAACATTTTAATATAAATCAATTAGTTATAAAACTATCTTTTTTGTATATTAATCAATATGAACATGAATATTCCAATTATTTCCATGCAATCCAATTTCTTACAAATCAATTAATTATATTTACCAATAATAATAAACCAAATAATTTCCCCCATATATTCCTCTGAACCACAACTTAAACATTTCTGCTTTCAACACAATATACAATTAATAGTATCTCAATTCAATTATTACAATTCCCTAGTTAAATACAGTTTTTTGTTCTTTTGTGTTTTAAAATCTTGAACTCTCCTCCTAAATTTCCCATTGTTTGCAGTTTTTCACCTACCTTTTTTGGGGAGGAAAAATAAAAATAAAATAAATGTCTCTCTGCCTCATTTTGTCACGTTGCACCAAAGATCCTGGTTTCGGTTTCATTTCTGCAGCTTAGCTAGGGGAAAAAAAAACTGCTTACACTGATTGCCTGTAGGGCGGCCCTTTGAAGCCCCGGGCAAGAGTTTAAACAGTTTTTTTTTCTTCTAGCCATCAGCTGGGGCTCAAGAGGCAGCGGGACTGAGGAGGCAGAATGAAAAATCGGGACTTTTTTGAAACGCCGCGGGACGCGGGACAAATTGCTAAAAAGCGGGACTGTCCCGCCAAAAGCGGGACGTCTGGTCACCTTATACAAGATCAAAAGAATGTTACTTTGAGTCATAAGGCATTATTTGATCTAGATTCCTCATCTAACTCTGAGCAAATATGTTCTGCAAAGAATTGTGGAGCTATGTCACAGTGGCCCAAAGGGCAATCTTCATCCTGTCTTTCCCCAATATAGCACGGGTAACTCCAGTGGTGAAATCTGAACTGGTTTACTACTGGTTCGCTGGCTGCGCATGCGCAGTGCACACCACGCACCAAATGTGAGGTGCGCGCGTGCACTGCACACCAAAAGGAGGCATGCAGTAAGTAGAACAGTGCGCAAAGGGGGGGTGATCAGCTGTGGTGCACAATCTTTTTTTTTACTCTTAAAAGCATTGCTTTTAAAAGTAAAAAAAAAAAGCTTCTGACAATCGCGCGGCTCAGCTGGGATCGTCAGAGCCTTTTAAAAGCATTTTTTTTACAATCTCTTTGGCCGACATTGGTATTTGAACATAGATCTTTTTAACATTTATATTTTATTGTGTTTTACTAATCTAGATGAAATGTTTAGAGATATTGCTAGTCCTGACTCAAAAGCAGGGGCGCACAAACAAAATAACATTCATCCAGGATCAAGGTTTCACTTAGAATCACTTCAAAGCAGGGGTGAAATCCAGCAGGTTCTGACAGGTTCTGGAGAACTGGTAGTGGAAATTTTGAGCAGTTCGGCAAACCGGCAAATACCACCTCTGGCTGGCCCCAGAGTGGGGTGGGAATGGAGATTTTGCAGTATCCTTCCCTTGGAGTAGGATGGGAATGGAGATTTTGCAGTAGCCTTCTCCTGCCACGCCCACCAAGTCACACCACGCCCACCAAGCCACGCCCACAGAATCGGTAGTAAAAAAAAAAATGGATTTCACCACTGCTTCAAAGTGAATTCTGGCTCAAATTTCTTCCTGATCGGGGCTAGAGGCAGGACTATTGAACCCAAGCAACGGAGAGGTGGGAAAGAGCATATTTTTTTTTTAACCCAGACCAGCTTTGCCTCCCCGTATCTCCCCGCGTCTCCTTTTGTTGCCTCGGCTATCTTATCAGGCGGAGTTTAAAAGAAAGTCGTCCTTGTCCGTCCCCTTCTCGGCCTCTCCTCCTCCTCCTCCTCCTTTAAGTCTTCCACGGCTGTAGCGCCTCCCCGCTGCCGGCAGAGGCCGCTGTGAGGCCATCCCCGAGCAAGCCGGAGTGACGGGAGCCGTTCTTGTCCTACGGCACGCCAAAGCCGTCATATGACCCACGGACGCCAGGAGCCACAGAGGGGGAACAGCTGCAGCCGCCGGGAGTCGAGTCGGTGCCGTGGTGACGGAAGGCGAAGCGGAACGAGTTGAGCCGGCGAGGCGGACGCAGGGGGAGAGACGCGGGGGCTGGGCTGCTGTCGCTGCCACCATGCTGGCCTTGTTGTCTCGGCTGCTGGACTGGTTCCGGTCGCTCTTCTGGAAGGAAGAGATGGAGCTGACGCTGGTCGGGCTGCAGTACTCGGGCAAGACCACCTTCGTCAACGTCATCGCGGTGAGAGAGGCTTCGGAGCACCCCCGCCCCGCCCCGCCTCGCCTCGCCTCGGCTCTTTCTTGCCCGGCCGGAGTTTGGGGAGGGGAAGGAGAAGGGAAAAGGAGAAGAGAAAGAGAAGGGGTTGCCCCGGGTGGCTGCTTCGCCGCTTGCCCCGGAATCCACAGCGGGACCAGAAACTGGCTGATCAAATCTCAGATAGATAGATAGATAGATAGATAGAAGAGAGAGAGAGAGAGAGAGAGATAGATAGATAGATAGATAGATAGATAGATAGATAGAAGAGAGATAGATAGATAGATAGATAGATAGATAGATAGAAGATAGATAGATAGATAGATAGATAGAAGAGAGAGAGAGATAGATAGATAGATAGATAGAAGAGAGATAGATAGATAGATAGAAGAGAGATAGATAGATAGATAGAAGATAGATAGATAGATAGATAGATAGATAGAAGAGAGAGAGAGAGAGAGAGATAGATAGAAGAGAGAGAGATAGATAGATAGAAGATAGATAGATAGATAGATGAGAGCTATCTATATCTATCTATCTATCTATCTATCTATCTATCTATCTATCATTTAGCTATCTAATCTATATATCCTGCCGTGGCACTTTTCAATATATATAAATATATATTGAAAAGTGCCACGGCAGGAGAACGTGTCCCACGCAACCTGGGAAGGGGGGTGAAAGCCATTTGGTCTGCAAGCGCTGGCTTGAAAAAATGCTGCCTTTACGGTGGTGGTTTGTTAAACAGGGTCACGTACGGGAAAAAATGCCTGCAAAAGAAGAAAGATCGATCCTTTCTTACACACACACACACACACACACACACACACACTCGATCCCGAGTCTATTCCCCACGCACAATGTTTTGTGGACTACATATATTAAGTAGCTATAGGGGCCCCGTGACTTGGTGGCAGGTTATTAAGCTTCGTGGCGTAGGGGATGCTGCTGTCTGTAGGTGACGGAAGCTTCATCTTCTTGGGCATGGGGTGGGGCTGAGGATTTCTTCTTCTTTTTTTTTTTTTAAACCCAATTGTTCTTACTCAACGCTTTTGGAGAAAACCAGATTGGTATCTTCGCCTGGCTGAACCGGAGCTTCCTGAGTAGTAAGCGCTCCTTTGGGATGAGCAGCAAGGTCAGGAGCTGCTTGCTCTGAATTAAAACTCTCCTTCCCGTCCTTGGGGCTGTTGTCATTCTGAATCTTTTGTGGGTGTGGCATCCTCCCCCCCCCCAAAAAGGGAATCATCTTAATAGTGGAGGGTAGAGATTCCCCATGGTGGTGGAGGAGACAAAAAAAGGCAGTTTGGCTTTATGGCGCTCTGCCTTGCTTTGGGGTTTTTCCTGCCTTGTCCCTCTTTTGAAGAAATGGGACACACAAGGTTTAAGATTTGACAGTTGATGCAATATCACTTGTATGTAGAGAATGCACTTATATGTGTAGAGATTGGCCTTGTTATGTAGGACTGAATATTGTGGGATCCATCCGAGAACTCAGGATTGTCCTGGAACCCTCTGTGTGTCTGAGATTTTCCAGAAAACATATAGGTGGCTCATTCATATACCGAAAGTTGGTTACAACATTCAAAATTTATTGTACCTTTTAACCACTGCCTGTAGTCTTGCTTTCCTAAGTGAGAATTGAAGCTACTACCGCTTGTGGAACTAGCAATCTTCTTGCACCTCAGAGGCAAGGTATTCTGTAGTGTAACAGCTTCTTTTCTTTGTCATAGCCTTCATTTTACCTGGATGTTAATTTTCTTCTCAGACAGTATTGAAACAATTAGCTGAGTGAATTTAAGGATGTATATTTAGAAGGAATTCTCAGTTCAGTGGGATAACTCTCAAAAAAGTTTTGTTAAGTTGCAGTCTTAGATCCAAAGAGAAATCTTTTGTTATGCTTTGGATTTGGGAATATGAATCTTCATCAGATAATTTGTAGCAAAAATTATAGTGGGAAAATATGTTATAGTTTAATAGGCTTTTATCTATACAGCTTCTTAGAACAGTGCTTTTTATCTATTGCTTTGGTACTGGAATAAGCTGTGCTGAATTTGTTTGTATGGTATACTTAATAAAGTGAGGGGATTAGAAAGATAAGAGTTAGTGAGTAACATCTATGTTAGTCATGTGATAGAACAAAGTGACCTTTTACTTAAAGCAGCAACAATAGGAGGGTGGGGTCAAACTGCTGATGGAAACTGGTTGGGATAGATTAAGAAATGCTTTTGCAATGGTACAGTTTAGAACATGCCTCTTTAATTTAGCTGTTGACTTAATTATGCATGCTGAAATTAGCTCTAAAGTCTTTGTTGGTGTTTTTTTTTTAATGTGTTAGTTTTTACAGAACAAACAAGATATGTGTAGCCAAGTTGGATGTTCCTGGTAACAGTATTGTTCACTGTTGCTCTGGAATGATCATTTTGGTAATTTAAGGTGTTTGTAATGTTGTAATTTGCAGTTTTTGTATTTGTAATGTTATAATTTACAGTTATAGTTTTATAGCTTGCGGTATAACACTACAGCTTCATCACATGCTAAGTACTACTTGTTCTTTACAGCCCCGCTCAATGTAATAAACTTGGTATGTAAATATTTTCTCTTTTTGTTTATGAAACTTAGAAATGGATCCTGCTTGGCTTTTATTACATTTGTATCAATAATGTGCATTAAAGAAGAATAAGCAAGGTACTTTACAAACCAAACTATGCTTTGTAGAGAATACCATGTAATCTTGCCCTGAATTTAGGCAAGAGTGCATTTGTAAATATATTTAAATGAGTTATCACTCTTGCTAGCAAAATGTGTAAGTATATTATCTGAGATTGACGCAATTTTAATCTTAAAATCCATTGATATAAATATTGTATTTTTTAAAGTATGATGGATGCAACCCTAATTCTGACAAGATTTTCAGGTGCCTTCTTAAGGGGATATTTAAATGAAGCTTTCCTCTGGTTGTTTTTTTTTTTTTTTTGGTGGATTAATGATCTAGGATACAATCTGTGTCAGTCACTGGAACTTCTCCTGCTAGAGAGAGGTTCCCTGAAGAAGGGCTCCAGCATGAGTCTGAAAGCTCGGAAGACAAAACCTCTGATCCCAGTGACTGATCCAGACTGGATCCTGCAACATTATTCTGGGATCATAAACACATGCACAATATAGGAGAACATCAGGACTCAGCAGCAGCAGTCCATCTGCATTGAAAAGACAAAGGCCACTCTTTTGAAGATAGCAAAGTCCACATTTTGGACAGAGAGGACCACTGGTTTGAAAGGGGGGTAAAAGAGGCCATGTCAAAGAGGCTATGTCAAAATTGAACATCCCTCACTCAACAGAGGGGGAGGGATATGACATATTCTATCTCCAACACAGTCCTTTCAACAGTTCCAAGAAGGCTCCACACTCATTTGCACCACTCAGGTGACCCTGATGAAACATAAACCTTAATGACTCACTAAACAAATGCAAATGACCAGCTGTCTGCAAGGAATATAAATCCTTCCATTCCCCACCATCCAGTCAGAGCTGAAGAAGCTTCTTGGATGGGAAGTGAAACTTCTTTAAAGAAAAACCAGAAAGTTCCAGTTGCCTTTTGAAAAAGCACCTTTGGGACAAACATGACCTGGATGACTGAGAATCTCCATAGACATTATCCTGGGACATGTATATTTGTCTTCATTTGTTATTCATGTTCTATTTAGGAGATGAGCATCTTGACATGTTCTTTTTAATTTGGTTGATAAATGCAGAAAGGGCTTTAGTATAGATTAGGTAAGATAGGATCCTAAGATACATTCTTGTTCATTGTTTGAAAGGTTCTTGATGGGTTCTTTGGCAGTAAAACATTATTTATTTTGAGAAAGAATGTAGCTCATATCTATAGGTTGTTGAGTAGGTGCTTGAAAATCCTACTCTTTTTGATTCACCCTTTTATTTCAGGTCCTGTATTTGATGGGTATAGGTTAGAGCTGGAATTTAATGTTTAACTAATTCAACATTTTCCCCTGAAATAATTTACTTCTAAAGTGGGAAAATCATTGCAGGTTCCTTAAGAAATTGATGAAGGAAATAGACAAATTCTCTCCCTCCTATTCCTATATAATCTTTTCTTCTTTTAGGTCATGAGTTGTGGTATTGGGGATTATGTTTAAAAATGGTGCTATGGGCATAGACATTGCTAAAAATTCAAAAGAGTTTGGGTCTGCAACCACAAATAAAATATGTCCTGAAATTGATTCTGAATAGGGGTTTCTTCTTTAAATTTAAAATATATTGATGATTTCTGTGGCTGATAAAAGAGAAGTAAACTACACAAGGCCGAAATCAGCCCACTTGCCTAAGCAAAAGAAAATAACAGAAAAATTAGAGAAATATTCATGGAATATATTTCTCTGATTAGCACTCAAGGGCTAAATGTATTGCTATGACAATGTTTTGCTTTGGTATTGTTTTATTTATTACCGAAAGCTGTAGCAGAATACTTGAGTTAATATATAGCCAAATTAAACTAATAAAACATGATCCTGAATATCTTGTTCTTTGACAATTGTATTACTTTTTTGCCGATTACAAAGCAAATACATTTAAGTGAGGTAGTTATTGAATTATAATGGTGAAGCCAAAATACCATATCAGCAATGATTTATGCTAGTTTCTTACTCCAATTATTTTTTGAGAGGAGAAGGCTGTCTGTGTTAGCTTCCTTTCAAAATAATCTTCAAAGTAAACATGCCCTCTTGTAACCTTTTGTAACCTTTCAGATGAATTGTCAGCTATCTTTAACTTGGCATGTGTGACTGTGTTTGTATAGATGAAATAAGATTTTGTTTTTATTGATGAGTCAAATTATTAGAAAAAAACTGCATCAACTGAGTTGCTATTGATAACATAATTTTTATTTCATGAAAAGGAACTTTTCATCTTAATAAAAATTGGTTTATTAGCCTAAAATGGAATGACATAGGACAGGTTGACACATGTGGAAAGAA